AGTTCTAGGAGGTTTCTGGTAGATTCCTTGAGATTCTCTATGGAGACACTCAAGACTCCTGTTCATGGGGAGCTTTTTAGTTCTAATTTCCACTGAGACTTTCTTTGAACTTAGGCGTTATTTAAAAACGTGCTGCTTGAGTCCCAAGTCCCTGGAGATTTTCCTATTATCTTTACATCACTGATTTCTACTTTAATTCTATTAGGGGCAGAGAATATACGGTCTGATTACAGTTCTTGACATTTGTCTGTCTTGGCGAATGCTCCGTGAGCACTGGGGGACGTGCCATCCTGCTGTTGGGTGGTGTGTCCAACAGCTCTAGCTGGCTGATGGCATTCAGTTCTAGATCCTTCCAACTTCATGTCTTCTACTGAGCACTGTGGGTTTTGTTTGAACTTGCATGAGCTCCAGGGGTCAGATCAGCTGCTGATATCCTATCACCTGCGAATAATGTGTGGATTTCCCTGGTTCCCACGCCCTGGGCCAGGGCTCAGCAGGTAGAGTTTAGCCAGGACCAGCCCCTACACACCCATCCCCTTGCAGCAGTCTATTGCTGCATCACTCCACCGTGCCCGGTTCCTGCTCTAGAGTGGTTCACACTGGCCAGTAAGTTAGCAGACACGCTCTTTAATGTAAGTCACTTGACATGAAGTAGAATGAAGCGTTTGGCTCCTCAGTTGCACGGGCCACATCTCAATGCTCAACAGTCAGCGTGGAACATTCTGTTGCGACAGGAAGAGACAGCAGTGCTCGAGACCATTCTAGGCCACAAGGGACTCTCGTGCTCCGATGCCTTGGACCAACCCAGCCATCTAGGGCACGTTGCTTTTGTGGGTGATTTTTTGAGTTGCTGGTAGATTTTGCTGTTTTAAAATTTTTTAATTTTCGAACCAATTTTTGATACCTTGTATTTTCCCAGGAAATCACAGCTCTCATCCAGACTACGGGGTGCTTCCTGGGTCTCCACTCCACCTGCTGTCCTCATGTGGGTGCCACCCCTCATCTGTAGTCGACATCTCCACTCATTTAAGTTTGTATTTGTTCCTTATTTATTAATTAAAGCATGGAAAATTGTCGATTTTTATACAAACGAGCTCTGGTGGCATTCCGTATATTTTAAAAATATCTGTAACTACCAAATTTATTTTCCTCTCCCAAAGGTTTGGAGCACTTAAAACATGTTTCATTTGACAGTTTTACACAGTCAAAATGTATGTTCTGGTAAGGGAGAGACTGCGGCTTACGCAACTTCAGTAAATAATTATCAAGCTTTTGTTAATGCTTAATGTAGGATCTCTTTTGGGTGGTGTTCACGGACACTGGAAAAAAATATTGCATCTCTTTAGAGTGCTCTGTCCAATAAAAATATAATGTCAATCCCATACACATTTCTTAAATTTGGCAGCAGTCATATAAAAAAGGGTAAAAATGGGAAAATGCAATGTATTTTACTTAATCCAATCTATTAAAATAAAATCATGTCAACAGGAAATTAAGGTAAGATCATTCATAAGGGAATTTACGTTCTCTGTCTTTGTGCTAAGTCTTGGACACTTGGGGTGCCTGTTACTCAGACACGTCTCTCGGTTAGGACTGGCCGCGTGTGAAGGGTCCCTGTGGCCGCGGCCCCCAGCGAGAGCGCAGCTTCAGAGCCCAGAGGTCAATGAAGACGCCCTAAATGGAGCCCCCAGGCGCTGAGCCCCAGCGCTCCCCCTGCTTCCAACAGAAGCGGCAGGGCCCACATCTCTGCTCACGCCTGGGTCCGGCCACACACTCCACACAGTGACCTTGACACCGTCAAGTCTGCCTCTTGGGAACAACCTTCTGAAGAGAACCACACAACATCCAGATGATTGGGTTTAAATCAACAAAAAGACTGATTTTCTAGAAAAATGAAGAAAAGATTTTTACGTCACAGAAGGGATGATGAACGAGGCGAGATGGCCAGTCGCTTGGTCACGTCAGCCTGGCACATGGCGCCGAGTCCCCTCTACACCCACACGGCCACCTGCCCAGCTCCAGGAGGGGGTGCTGTGCCCCCCCCAACTTTGCAAATAAGGCAAGGAAGGCACAGGGAGGAAGGTAATGTGCCGCGGCCACAGCCGAGACAGAAAACGTTTGAAACATCAGCAGATCAACACTGAGGACCATGTTCTGCTGAGGGTAAAGCTGCTGTCGGTGGAGAAGACAAATTGCAACAACCCAATAGAAACAAAAAGACAAGAACAGGCAGCTCCCAGCAGAGGCCTGGACGGTCCCTGAGCCTGTAAGAGGAAGCTCCCGAGGCATTGAGGCCAGGCCGTGAACACAAGGGAGGCCTTTCCATGCAACAGATGAGCAAGGCTCTCCCTCCCTGGCGCCGGCGCGGGATTTCCTGCTTTTCTGAGTGGCGTTGGGCAGCGCCCACCGGCGTGGGAAGGCACTTTGCTTTTGTGCAGCAACGCCACTTGGGGCACCTCTCTCCCAAGCATCTGTCTCTGCGGCAGCATCTGTCTTTCGCACAACATCTGTCTCTTCCAGGCATCTCTCTTTCCCAAGCATCTCTCTCCCCCAAGCACCTGTCTCTCCCACAGCGACAGGCTCACACGTGCACAGGCCGGGGCCCACAGACGCTCTCCTAACCCACCGGCATGAGGCCTAGCCAGAGGGCGTCCCTGCAAAGCCATGTGTGGATCGCCCAGCCCCAGGGCAGTGGCCCCCTCACACTCCTCTCCCCGCCTCTGAGCCCCCCACACTATCTGTGAGCTTATTCTGGGCCTCTGCGCAATTATGCCCTTTCGTGATAAAACTGAGTTTCAGTGCAAATTGCTGTTTCCATGACCGCAAAGCTGAGAGCCCTGAAGAGTCTCGAAACGTCAAGTCAATAAAAAGCAAAGCAAATTGCTGTTTCATGAAACATGAAAATCTTTAAGGATTTTGCCCAGAAGAATCTTGCCAAGTGTCAAAACCCTGCAGTGAGCCGGTGCGTGATGCCCCCTGAGCGGGAGGGGGAGGAAGCGAGGCTGGAGACCCCCGCGCCAGAACAGGCGGGACAAGGGCTCCGTCTGCTTCTTGAAAAGGAATAGCCACGCGCTGACGTGCTGCTTACGGGAACTTAAAACATTTCACAAATAAAGCGATTCCTCGAGCAACACACAACGGCTCTCTGCTCCCTTGGTCCTCTTTCTTGCCCTGAATTTTGCCGCTTGACCACGTGTTTCGTTTTCTCATCAACTGGAGAATTTCTGTCTTTCCTTGGTAGAGTTGAAGCTCCTTACATTTGTTACAAGTGGAATGTGTGCTGCTGGCTCGGACATCTTGTTTCGTGCTGCTTGTTTCGGGCGCTTTTTTACAACTTTGCTTTCCTTTTATCGCGAGGCCCTGCCTGCCTTCTCTGCTTTTAGCTGGGTTCCCGTGGTAAGTTTAGGCCGCGGTTTAAGTTCTACTGGAGTTTATGGAGACGCTTTCCAAATGGTATTTTAAACCTCTAGTTTTTAATTATTTAAGTGAAAAAAAAAATTCCCCCAGAAACGGGCCTGGTTCTGGGTACTGAGCGAAGCCCGCGGGCGCACTAGGAAGAGGCCCGCGCAGAGCTAAGGGGAGCGCTCCGTTTCCATGCAGTGGGAGCTGGGGGTGGTGGCCAGTCCATGGCCTCTGCCTGGGGCTCATGGGAGGGAGGAGGGCTGACCCAGGGGGGTATCTCCATGACTTCTGGCACCTTCTACACAGTTGCTTTTGTGGGCAAAGCCTGGCAAGGTTTTCTCAGGCAAGCTCCGCCTGCTTCCATGGACTGCCCGCGCCCCCTAGACCACCCACCTCCGTTTCCTGTGGGAAGGGTGGCTTCTTCAGCTCTCCTCGCAGTACTTTAGAGGGGAGCCCGGAGCAGCCGCATCGGGATGGTAAAGAGCTGTGTGTGCTGTGATTTCATAGAGCACTCGCAGGAGTCGTGTACAAAGGGCGGCTGGCCAGCCCCCAGGGCGTCCAAGGCCAAACCAATTCCTCCGGATCCCGTGGGGCAGCGCAGGTGCGCCCCAGGTGGCTCTTCCAAAGCCATGTCTCTGGAGCCCTCCCCAGAGGTGTGGGAGTCCCACAGCTTCTCTGAGGAGACCGGCCGGGGCTAAGCCCGACTGGGTCATTAACTGTGTCTGTGCAGGCAGCACAGGAGGGAGGCGGTGCAGGAGGGCAGAGCTCTGGGGCGGGGACAAGGCCAGCAGGTGGGCGCGGTGTGGGCAGGGGGAGCCTGCAAGCACAGTGACCAGAACCGCACAGCACAGGCCAGTAGCCCCGATCTCGGGGGACACACGCCCTCCTCTGGATCACTCCTCCCAACCACGTCCTCTCCTGACTGCTGGCCACGTTCTTCTCTCGTCACCCCAGATCTCCCCTCTATGTCCACTCTGCTCAACTTGGATTCCTGCGCTACTCATTCCGTCACTGCTCACTTTTCATTGGCTCCGCTCTCTGCCAGCGACGAACCCTTGGGTGGCTCAACGATCTTCTCAGCCCAACTGACGGGCAAAGTTGGCTGCCGATGAGGCTGGGGGGAGGGGGGAGGAGCCGGGGGGTGCGTGGCACAAACCCCAGACTTCTGCACTGTTTTAGGGAAGGTGGGTGTCTGAGGGTGTTCTTTTAGAGCCCCCCGTTCACCCAGGTCAAGGCACTCTAGCACAGAGCTGTGCGCAAGATCGTGAGTGACAAGCACAGATGACGAGCCGCTGCCCAACCTCGAGTTCAGCATCCCCTAGGGCACTGCATCCACGCCTGCCACGGGTCCCCGACAGTCACCCCAAAGGTTATGAAGCCACAATCTTACTCTCCAAAGAGACAGCACGCTGGGAACACACAATAGACGGGTCGGCGCTCTCCTGCAAGGTACCTTGGCATATTTTTGCTGCCTGTGAATTTTCCTGCATGATCTGAGTGGATAAGCCCTGCCAGTAATTCTTCTGGGGGGGGCCTGCGCCTCCTCTGAAAAGCCTAGCACCGGCTGTTGCACGGGACGCCCCCACCCTGCAGCTTACCTCCTGCAGCTTGACCTCCTCCGGCTGGAGGATGTCCAGCACCCCGCTGCTCCGAATCTCTGGGAGATCCTGCCAGAGGTTAAACCTGGAGTGGGGGTTACTGAGCAGGCAGATCTGGGGCAGAGCCTTCCTCACGGGTGGGCTGGGCAGCTCCTCCTCCTCTTCCTCCTCTTCGTCCTCCTCCTCCGGAGTCTCCACGCTGCCTGGGGACCTGTCAGCATTAGCTTGTATTTCTGCATCTTGCTTCCTCCTGGTTTCGATTTCCTGGAGTGTCGATTTATCTCGGTATTCCTGATACAGGAGCCCTGGAAGCAGACAGAGTGGCGATGAAGAAAAGAAAAAATTTCAGGCAAAGATCCTTCCGGATCGCTAGTCAAGGCTTTGTGCCCTTGTGGAGGCGAGTGCTCGGCCGAGCACGGCAGCTGAGGTGTGTGTCAGCGCGACTTCACTTCCCGAGCGAGACCTGCACGATAGGAGTTTTTGCAAGTACAGCATGGACTCAAAGTCCAACCACACCAGCTATGCTGGCAGACCTGGCAAACAGCAGGAACCTAGCTCTTGGCGTGTTAATAACCAACGTGCATGAGGTTGCTGGAAACGTCCCACCTGCGTTCCAGGAGCTCATCAGGATGCCCTCCGGAGCGTTAAATGCATCCATATTAAAACTCACACATGCGGACTGTGACATGAGAGTAGTTGTAAATTTGCCCTTTGCAGTCAAATCTACTACTCACCAGCCTGATGATTCCAAAGGGAAACATTCCTTTGTTGCTCTCACAGTTTCAGCTTCCTTTCCTGACTGACTGTGCTTGGAATGAACGCATTCTAAGTCTCTAAGGGGATCTGGGGGATCAGAGGACTCAGCGCACAGGTGGCACCTCCACCAGGAAAACGTCATTCCTGATGTCCTGGCCTCAGGCGGGGGCTGGTCTCTTCACGTAGGAGGTGCAGGAAGCTTCAGTGGCCGGGGGTTCCCAGCTGGGCTGGGTAGGGAGGGGGCTGGACTGCAGGGCCTTGTCCGCTGCCGCACCATGGAGGAGGCGGGCTGTCCCACGGGCAAGGGTTGGTCCCGAGAGTCCTCAGACAAGCAGCCCTGGTCTCCGTTTAGGAGGACGGTGTGAGGAGCTGGAATGGTGCTAATTCTCTAGCCGGAGGCCTGCACCGGAGTGGAAGTGAGGGGTGGAGTCATGAGTCCGAGTCAGGGACAGTGATAAGGTACAAGGCAGACCTGGTAGGCGCCGGGTGCCGGGTCATAAGGTGACCTGGTGGCCCCAACTCAAGGAGACCAGGGACACGGGAGGAGGTGCCAACTAAGGGGTGGGACGGTGGAGACCCAGGTACACCGGGGGGCGCCTGGAGAGGCCAGCGGCAGCTGGATACACTGGTCTGGAGATGGTTCAGGGCCCCTTGATATTTAGAAAACAAAGATGTTTTGCCTCAGAAAGTCCTAATATGGAGGAACTGCCCCTTGAAAGTCCTTTCTCTGACAGTGCAGTACAGATGTCGGCCATTATTCCTTTTCATCTGTTAAACACAACTAAACAGTAAAAAAGGAAAGTGAGTTGCTTTGAAATCCTAAATGCGACTGGATAAATTCATAAACAGGAGCCCGATACGTCAGCCCTGTGGATTAAATTAGTTGTCTTCCCATGCTCCATAAAGCTAAATTATAAAGGCTTTAGGGTAAGTGTAATGTTTACTTAAAACAATTAAGAGCCTGCATTTTTCCAATATTACAATCCAGCAGACGATTACACGGAGTTAATCAGACGAAGGAATGAAGAGGGGAACTGAGGGCTACGCGGAACACATCCCAGATTCAGCTGCGGGCAGGAGATAAAACACGATCGCCGACACCAAACCAATCATCTGTTTAAGAGACAGAAAGAAGCCAGTTTGGATTCACTTTTCATTGCTTAGTGTGGTGGTCCCACACGGTAGGTCTGTATATATTTATGGAATTGACCCAATGTAATTTCCAAGCTTCACAAAAGGGTTTAATTTGATATATTTTGAAGGTTCAAAAATATGTCTTATGTATGCTGCAGTTGGCAAACCCTAGGTACATACTATTGCCAACATCTCACTGCACTATGTGATCTCACATATGCTGAAAAAAGACAAAAATATCAGCATTGTGGGTAGTTGGGTTAGAAGCAATTATTTCTGGGACACCATCGGCTTTCCTTCCTCTATCTCCCTATACTTTTTCTTCCCAGACGACAGGGGAAGGGTTTGATTTGGGTGCTGACCCATCCTGTTCTAGAAAGTGGGTGAATGTTGACTGATAAAACCTTCCGTGACAGTTCCCTATGCCAGTGTTGACTCTAGACTTGGGCAGATGATACAAACTGGGTAAGAAGGGTAAGGGGATATCGTCTAAGGTCTTCAAAAAGGTGCCCCTCCCCAACAGACTCTTGAAGACAAATAGCCCTTTCTGTTTTTACACACGGCTGCTTGAGGAGGTGATGCCTGGAGCTGTGGCAGCCATTCTGTGACATGAAGCCCAAACGCTGAGAATGCTGGAGGGAAAGGAGCTGGGTCATTTTTGGTTGAATGAACCAACTCCAGAATTTCTTAGCTGTGGAATCAGGTCACTTTTTTTCCCCCTCTATATTTGTGACTTGCAGCCAAAGATGCCCAATACAAGTAATTTTAGAATTTTCTTAAAACATCCTCCTTTTTGAAATGTTTAGAATATGAAGTCAAACACCAGTTTTCCTGGAGTTATTGTGATTACCAAGAGTTATCTGACACACCATGGAACCATTTTTCACACTGTTCATTTTCATTACTCTTAAAATTCAGATTCCATATAATAAAAATAGAGTAACTTTGCCTGAAGAGCTATATAGTATCAGATTAAATTTCTGTACTTGACTGATTGCCAATCTATCATGTTTTCCTATTTTTTATTTTGTACCCTAGTAAGCACAATTTTACACGGAAGTTAATTTTACCTGTAAAATCTTGCACCTGGATTATACCCATGCAGACTTAGAAGGCTCCGTTCCTCTCTCTCTTAATCAAAACCATCTACACCAGCCTGGTTGTACTGCTCTGAAGCAGGAGGTGAAGCTCTCAGCCCCTCTTGCCAAAGCCCCTGCAGTTATTGAGTTCCAAAGAGTCTTTTTTTTTAAATGCTCCAAACAGAAACTTCTGAAAGATCAGGGAATTCCCTTAATTATCAGTGAGCACCTTCTATGTGTCAAGCATTTGTGAGATCCAGAGACAACAGCCCACACATACACAAACGTCCCCCGTCCCAGTCACAGGGTCTCAGGGCCTGGCCTGGCCTGGTGGGGAGTGCTGTGACCTCCAAGAGTGGTCTACAGAGCTCACTGCGCCTTCCTCCCCTCTTGATTCCATGGTGTCCTTCCGAGCCTGCGTCCTTTCCTACGTCTGGCAGGAATTCACAGAGCAGAACGCAGCCAGGCAGTTGTAGGAATCTGCTTCACACAGGCCCGGTGATGAGGAAGCGCAAAGACTCAGCGACAACTCTGTGCTGTCACTGGACACCTCTGTGACCTTCCCCCACCGGACCAGCAGATGCTGGCTGCAGGCGGTGGGAGGAAGGACTCAGCCTCAGCCCACTGTTTGCCAAACGAGCAGGCCGCGGGCGGAGAGGAGCAGGCATCCACGCTTGCCCGGGTCATGCTCCCAGTTTGGAGCAGCTGCGGCTGACCCAACAGGTCCAGCTGCCTCCTGGACGGGGTCTCCCCACACGCCCCTATGGCAAACCTGGCCCTAAGGAAAACGTCATGCTAGCAAACCCACCAATGGCGCCTCTCCCTGAGAGAGGAGACCCCTCACCCGGCATTTCCTTCCTGACCAAGGCACTGATCTTAGCCGAGAGCGTCCGTTTCAGGAAGGTGACCGTCAAGTTGTCCGGCTCGGCCGAGATGGCACAGAGCTGGGAGAAAGGGTTTCCTGGTGCCTTAGTTCTCACACGAGCCCCTCTCCCACGTCCCCAGGAATCAAAGGGACAGGCGCCGCCACCCTGGGGCTGACATGCTGGGACCCAGCCCGGAACAAAATCCAGAGCCTGCAGCGCTCAGCCCCCTCAGCCCCCAGGGCCCAGCTCCTCTCAGGCTCAGCCTGGAAAACCCCCGCCAGGGAAGAGCCGGTCCAGGGTGTCCAAATGCAGGGCTCCGGGGGATGGAGGTGTTGCTTCGGCTGGAGACACCCCAGGTTTGCTCAAGACACCCCAGGTCTGCCTGTGTGCTGGGGACAGAGCGCTTCATGGGGCATTTACTCAGGTAAGGGAATCCCCAGGCGCGCTGCTGGCCGAGCCGGTGGACTGACCGTCGCCCTGACACCAGCCTGCCCGCCCGGCCCCCACCTCACCCGCCGGCGGGGCGCAAGGAAGCTGACGTCACTAGCAGCTCTGGACTTTGAAAGGCAAGACCGAGGTCCCGGGACCCTTCTCCACCCGCGCTGCGCTCAGCGTCCACAGCCGCCCAGGGAGGGCGGGGCCGGCCTCCTTCCTGACCCGGGGGTCCCGTCCTGCCTCCGCTTGGCCCGCCCTTCCCTGTGCCAAGTGGGCACAGCCGCCCGCTTGGGAGTCCCGCCCGCAGCCTGGTTCTCTCAGAGGCTCCCCCAGTCCAGGCGCCTCCTCTCTCGCTGCAGGGCCGCGCTCCCGCCGCGGGTCAGCTTCCAGGTCTCGCCCGGGTCCCTCCCCGCCGGGGCGTCTCCTCCTGCAAGCACCTCACCCACCCTCCTGGCAGGGGCGACCGGGGAGCCACAGCACGTCCGGGGAGGGGCGGGGGCGCACCCCCTGCGGAGCCAGCAGGTCGCAAACGCAGAGGCTCGCGCGCAGCCCCGCCCGACCCGGCCCGGGGCAAACCGCGGCCTGGTAGGGAGCCGCGACGTCCAGAGGTTCCTCGGCCCGTCGGGCACATCGGCTCCCACAAACGCCGGGGCGCCCCAGCGAGAACCCCGTTCCCAGGCGAGCCCCGCGGCCCGGACACCCACCTATTTGCTCGATGAGGTTTCTCCAGGAGTCGGCGGGGATGGGGTGGATCCTCTGCAGGGCCTCGGTGAGCGTGGCGGGGCTGTCGGCCAGCGCCGGGCAGTCCTCGGGCGTGGCCCCGCTCCCCGGCGTGGAGGGCGACTCGCTGCCGGGAGAGGGGCGCGCGGGGGTTATTTTTACGCGACGACACACCCGGCCCGCGCCCGCCGGCCCGACCCGGCGCCCCGCGGGGGGGTGTCCGCCAGGGCGCGCCCCGTGATTCACGCGCCGCCGCCCGCCCGGCCCGCGCGTCTGCGGAGCCCGCGGCCGGCGTCGGAAACTTGGCGCCCGCGCCCGGGGCCGCCCCGACGGTCCCCGCCAGCCGCGCCGCCCCCGCGGGCCCCCGCGTCCCCGCGTCCCCGCCGCGCCGTGGGGCCCCCCGCGCCCCTGCTGCCCCCGCGGGGCCCCCCGCGCCCCCGCCGCCCCCGTGGGGCACTCCTGCGCCCCTGCTGCCCCCGCGGGGCCCCCCGCGCCCCCGCCGCCCCCGTGGGGCACCCCGCTGCCCCAGCGGGACCCCCCGCGCCCCCGCCGCCTCCGTGGGGCCCCCCGCGCCCCTGCGGGCCCCCGCGCCCCTGCGGGCCGGAGAGGGGTCGGCACGCGCGGGCGCCGGAGAGGGCGCGGGGGGGGGCGGCCCGGCGCGGGGGTCCGGGCGGGGGCACCCGGCGGGGACGCACCTCGCCGCCGCCACCCCCGGGTCGCGGGGCCTCGCGGGCCGGGGGCGCGGCCGGGGCGGGGGGCCGGGGCCGGGGCGCGGGGCGCGAGCGCGGGGGGCGCGGGCGGCCCCGCTGCTCACCTGCCGGGCAGGTGTCCCGCCGCCGACTCCCGCGCGTCGCTCTCCGAGGCGGAGCTGTCGTGGTCCACCGCGCAGGCGGCGCTGAAGGCGGCGGCCAGCAGCTCCATGGGGCCGGCGGGCGGGCGGGCGGGCGGGCGGGCCGGGCCGGGCGCGGGCGCCGCTGGAGCCGGAGCTGCCGCGGCCGCTGCCCAGAGCTCGGCGAGCGGCGGGCGGGCGCGCGCCCGGAGGCGCCGGTTGCCACGGCAACGGGAGGCGGGAGGCGCGCGGCGGGGGCGAGGCCGGCGGCCGCGGGCGGGGAGCGGGCGGGGCGCGACCCGGGACCTCCCGCGGGGCCCGCGCCCTCCCGCGCGCGGCGGGGTCCCCGGGGAGGGGCGGCGGGCGGGGGCGCGGGGGCTGCGCGCGCGCTTCCCGCCCCTCGGCGCCGGCCGAGACCCCCTGCTCCGCGGGAGAACTCGGGGGGCCCCGCGACGTGACCCCCCGCGCGCGCCCTCGAGCCGGGTCTCCGGGGCCCCGTCGGCCCCGCGCAGCCTCGGGCGCCCCCTCGCCCCCCGCGGCGCGGGACCCGCCTCGGCCGCGCCCCGGGACGGCGTCCTCCAGGGGCGCCCCCGTCCGCGCGTGTGCGAGGCGGGGACCCGCCGCCCGCCGGCTCCCAGCTCCGGCCGTGGCAGGGGCCGGCTCGGGGGTCTGGCCGCCGTCAGGACCCCCGGCTGGGTGCGGGGGCGCGAGAGAAACACGGTGTCCCCGAACCTCCAGCCGCTGCCCCTCCTCCCTCTGGGCCCCTCGGAGTCTGCCCCGGGGACGCGGACGGCGCAGAGACCGCGCTGGAGCCTGGAGGGCGAAGGGCCCCGCGGGTGTGGACGCCTGGAGGGATTCCCAGGCCGCCCGTGCCCGCGCCGCGCCCTGCAGGGGGCACCGCGCGGCGCCCGTGGCCTGTTGTGCGCCGGGCCAGCCCCTGTGGCTCTGGTCCCCGGGACACTCACGGTGGGGAGTGGCGTGCAGAGAAAATGGAAAATTCTGCACAATTCCTGCATATTCCACCCCCGGCATTTGTTTAAATGAACAAAGTCTTCGGGTTTTGGGGACGCAATACTCCTGGGGGGAGGCGCCGGAGACGCTCTTGGAAAAGAGCGGCCTGCACGGCCAGGCCAGCCCCAGCAGGGCACCGGGGCAGAGGGAGTAAGTTAGACGGGAAGGGAAAGAACGCAGCTCAGGAGGTGGGGCTCTTTGCCTGGAAGGGGGAACCCCTTCGCAGACACCATAGGGAGACCCCCATGCTACCTGCCTGTTCCCCCAGCTCTGACTCCAGGAAGGGCTGCCCAGGGAATCTGGAGGGATTCTCTGCTGCAGAACAACCGCCCGGTCATGCCCACGCAGTGGTCACCAGGGTCTGCTTTGGTTCTCGGGCCTGACACTCCCTGGTGGAGCTCGACCAGCCAGTCCCACTGAGCTCCAGGTCCCCCGAGGAGGCAGACCAGACGGTGCCCTGCAGGCTTCAGAAGGTCTGTGTGACCCACCCAGTCTTGTCTTTCAGCCAGTCCCCCCTCCTTGCTGCCGTCCACAGCATCTTCACACGGGCCCTCTCTGCCTTCCGCGTTCCTTTGCACCTGGCGGGCTCACCGGGGGCAGCTCTGGCACACACTCCATCTCCCACCACCCAGCAGACACCAGGAAGCAGGGAGAGCAGGGCCGTCCTCACCCACTCAGCGATGCCTGGCTGGGCCCCCTGCATCACCAGAGTCCTTCAAAGCAGACCCTCTTCCCTCCTTATCTGGACCCCTCCCCAGTCCATCCTTCCCTCCGGCCCTCTCTGAGCTGTGGATCTGCTTCGTCCCTCCCCGGCTTGACACTCCCTGGCCGGAATTCTGTCCTCTCCTGGCACCGCAAGGGGCTCTTTCCCCGGGCTCAGCCCTTGCTAGCAGCCTCAGGGCCGCTGCCCTTCCTGGTTCTTTTCAGGCTTTGGTTTCAGCACATATTTTCCCAGCCTCTAGGCTGGATTCCCCTAGTGAGGGCCTCTTCCTCCAGCTGGGGGGTGTGGGGGTGTGTGTGGGGGGTGGGGGGGAACTGAACCCAGACCTTGCCCCAGTGTAAGCAACAGCATGGCTTGACCCTAGAAGCCCCTGGGAGTGGGGCCCCCCCTTCTGCTGAGCCTGGGGTTCCTCCTGCATCTTACTCCATCCTGCTGGCCCGGGAAGAGCACTGTGGGGTGCCATCAGCCCCCCAGTGGGATGGACTCTTCATGGAGGCTGTTACTTTCACATGTTGCTGCCCGGAGGGGAAAGAGTCTTTTTTCTAATCAGAAAATAGTCAGGTGAAATTACACATATTGAGATGAGGATAATACAACCTTCCAATTGAAAAATAAGCCAAAAATATCCACCTAATTATAAAATCAGTTTAGAGATTCACTGAGTTCTGAAGACATATAACCTTAAACTAAACCCCCATGTTCTATTTTTTATCATATTTGGTGCTTATTAGGCAGGCATTTGCTAAAATCTCCATTTAGCCAACATTTTGCTCAGAATCATTCACAAAATAAACTATTAATAAATATTTCAAATATTTGCACCTAGCTAGCACACAGTAGGTACTCTGCATGTGTGTGTTAAGGAATGGATGGTGTGTTTTAAGAAATAGTTATTTTACATATCTTATCTAAAGATGGTTGCTTTCTTTTTTTTTAGGTTATAAATGGTAAACACTAGAAACAAAGTGAATTCTTTATGTAGTAACCTCAGGCTTCAGAAATCTTTTTTTATGTTTAAAGAATGTTACTTTGTCCTGCTAGAAGCAGAAGAAAGCTTAGCAATAATCGAGTGCAACACTTTTATAGGAAAAGAAGCAGGGTCCGAGGGTAAAAATGACAAGCCCAAGCTCACATTGCTGGCTCATGACAGACCTTGGAAGTGTCTGCTGGCAAAGTCAAGACCATGTTGTGTGGGGTAGGGAACTGCACATTTATACTCACTTATTCTAAGTATTTTTAAGATCATAAGATCTGGCACCAGACTATCAAATGTGAAAACATTTGTATTAAATATAATAGGAAAATGACTTGAATTTTTGTTTTTGTTTTTTTGTAGTGAGAAGATATCCCACAAATATAGGTTGAAAACTTCTAGAGACAGGTTCTTGGTCACTTTTAAAAACTGTAGCTTTTAAATTAAATAAATAGTAGTTTATTTTGTCACCCCCCAAAAGATTTTTTGGGTTGCTTTGAAAATCAACAAATTTAAGCCACTTTGGTGGCACCAGCAGTGCCTCAAGGGATAAATGGACCCCCCCAAACTGAGTGAGTTCGGGGAAGGACAAGATGGAGCCCTCTCTACCACACCAAGAAACCCCCAAACCTATACTCAATAGATGGAAAGCTTTCTCCATACGGAGACTTCCAGAAGTAGAATGCTCTGTGGGTGTGGAACGTACGCTACCGGTGAGGTGGAGGTGAAACTCTCTACTTTCTTTTTATTGTGAAAATAAGTTATAAATGTGTGAATCTAATACATTATGGAAATGCACTAAAAACACAGTGTAGCCCTGTGTTACCTGAGAGGCTGGTTTCCTAGGGGTGATCAAAAGCCACTGGAATGTTAAATCTGGTGGGGGTGGCTTGGCCGTGACTTGGGGTCACATTAAACAAGGCGACTACATCTGTAGCTTAAATCTGACTTGAATCTGTAGCTTTCACTGGACTAAACTGTAACGGGGAGCATAACAGCTTTCAGTGCAGGCCGAGTCCTTCCAATGAATTTGCAAACTGGAGCGTCATCTTGGAGACTCGCCCCAAACTCAGAGCTGAAGATGGTCTCAGGACGGTCTCCTGACTTCAAAGCCTCCGACGTGATTTAGAGTACAGTAGCCTCGTTGCACGAGCAGGCTTCCTCTCCGTGATCTTTTCTCTCCCGCCGTCTTCCCTGATCATAGCTGCCTGGTTCATTTTCCTCAACCATACCTAACCCTACCATCTGTTATCTTCAGTGACTCTTCAGTACCTTGCTGGTCACTGGCTGCTAATGGAGTTGATGCCCAGGTGGAAGTGGGGTGACCTGAGTGTTCTCCTGGCCCTGCTCTTTGCTGTGAGCCCTGTCCTGTTAGCATGGCATGTGTGGTTTCTCTCCTCAGCGGACCTGCACTTTGGGGGTGGGGGGGCTGATGTATCTCCACACCCCCAGCATCTAGCACACCCAGGATGCATCCAGAAATAGATGGTGAATAAATAAATATGGGGGGCTGGTAGGCATCATGTTGCTATATCCCTGGTTTCTGTCTCCCTTTTAGTTTTTGAGGGGAACAGAAACATTGCCTTGGT